CATAAGTGATAGAATTGTCACTTTCACACTTCACCTAATTAGGGTCTTACCCAATAGAGGATTCCAACATTTAATTACATCTTCACTCGTAATCCAAATGTCACTCACCATATCCCTCAGTACATATCACCAATACACCCTCAAGCATCTGTACTTCACATTACCAAAAGACATAGCACACTTACTGCTAATGCATCACAATCCACTATGCATGCATACATTGCAAAAAGTAATTAGACTGCTCTCAAATTTATACAAATACACATCAAATATATTGAAATATAACATATAACCATGCAACAGAATTAAACAATCACACACATGTAGAACTTATTACTCATAGACGCTCGTGTACTAACTATGTTTACTCTCAATAAACATCACTAAGGTTTTATAACCACATCATCTTTCACATTACCCATTTGCTTATCCTTTTTCTTAAAATAGTCTATTATTAAGTGTCCACCTTACCACAGCTGTAACACCGTCTACCACTGGACTTATCCCAACCTTTGCCTTTTTTCTTACCACCTTTGTCACTCAAGTTAGTAGTCTTGAGACTTACCCAAATTTATTTGCTTAAACTTCATTCTATTTCTTATCAAGTGTACTTCACCACTCATCTTATCTTCTTTTTCGGTTGTAATCTCTATACACATACTCAATTGCATTCTTAACATCCCTTTATGAATCAGACATATAATTAAGTAAAATAATGTCCTTATAGGTTTCAGACACATTTTTATCGCAATTAATAATGTTTTGAACAAGTTTGTTAAAAACATCTATATTGTCGTCAAGATCATTTGAATGATCCATTTTAAAATTAAAAAATCTTTCGAGCAAGTACAACTTATTAGATATAGACTTGAACAAATATAAGTCCTCCAACTTTTTTCAATTTTTTTTTTTTGTGGAATCAAGTTTTCCAATTTTCTCACAACAACATCAAATAGGTTGAAAATAATTGAAGTATAAAAAATTTCATCATATTCTTCTTTTTGTATTTATGTGAAATCAGCGAAAAATTTGCCATCTATGTATTTTTGTTGAACTAAAAATCCTCTTCATCTTTTGTTACCAAATTGAAAATTTTCATTTTCATTGAAAATTCTCACTTCGAAATGTGAAGACATTTTGGAAACAAAACAACTAAAATAGTGCGTAATTAGGTTCCACAAAGTAATCTTAAGGCCACAATATACACTGTTCTAGATTTTCAGAGTTTTGTGAGATTCAAAATCTCAGTATCAATGGAATGGTCGAACATGTCAAGTCCAGGTATTTTAAAAGAATAATCAATACAACACAGAGATATATCAACTAAAAATTCAGTTTCCCATACAATGTAGTCTTACACAGTTACTAAATGAGAATTAAACACAAAAGCAATTATCAACTTGCAATTAAATCCAACATACCAAATAGGGCATATAATTCCTAAATTTTAGTATAAGCAATGGTTTCCCCACATGGTAACTCAAATTCGAATATCACCCCCACATGATAACTCGCTAATATTGGAATTTAAAAGGGATAAGCCAATTTATCGGAGTGGACCAAGTCCGAGGTCCGTAATTAAGGAGATATGTAAATTTACCGCCTTAGGGCAACCACTATTTGCCCTAAAGCCTCCAACAATTTCAGCAACTAATCAAGCAAAATCGAATCTTTAACGCGCAGGGACAAAATTTTCCAGACCACAATTTTACCCAAAATAAAAATCGAACATCACCATAAGGTCAGCTTTGTCATCTAGAGAAATCCGTCTCAAGAAATTACCGTCGAAAAACCGATCACGCCCCCATATGTGCAATTGCTGAGTTCTACGCTTTGTCGTCGTCGGTCACGCGCCACCCACCCAGGCGCTCATCCACCTTCACAATAAGAATTCACTCTCAACTTTCACCAAACTGGTCATATTTCTTTGGCTGGAAATCATAATTACAGGTTCGATCAAATATTTTTCTTCGAGATTCAACCGATTTTTCTCCCTTTCAGATTTTATTTTGCTCGGGAATCACACAACAATGAGCTTTGATACCATTTTGTGCGGAAACTCGCTCCAAGATCTTCGATTCGATGATTTTTGGGTTCAGTCAATCCAATCTCGACCTTATCAAAAACCTCAAATCTACGACCCAAAACCACTACCACTTGTTCACTTCGATTTCTCTGGATTACACCCAGAAAATACACAAGAAGAGGGATAATTTATTGTAGCTACAAAGGAAGAGGGATAATTTATTGTAGCTACAAAGGAAGAAAGATAGGAGACGAAGAAAATGGTTAAAGGAAGCACAAAGCAGTTGTCCATATCAACTCTTTCACAAGCAATGCCAAACACACGATGAAGTGAATTAGGAGGCAACCATATATACATATAGGCAGGGGGCGGAGCCAGGATTTCTGGTCAGGCGGGGCACAACTTATCGATATTGAATGTCGAGTTTTTGTCATGAGAAGAGATACTCAATTTTACACTTCATATATGCATTTCT